CAAAACATTGGAATGATGAAAAGTTATCGATCTATAGCTTTCCACCCATCTCCCCGCCTCCCCCTCGTGCCTGGCCCTCCACCGTTTTCCCCTGGAGCTGGAAAGTCCGCTCCATCAGCAGAATCCGTCCAGTCCTGGCCCTGGCCCCAGACCAGCCCTGGCCTCTCGTCTGGTTTCAGTGATCGAGGAGAGGAGCAATATTTTTAGACAGATGCACGCCCGTCCCAGCACGGCTGCTGTGATTATGCAAATCCAGTCGTAAGGAGTTTAAAAGCCTGGAACCACCATATTTCTTGATTTCATTAGTGATGACACAGGCTGCAGAAGGAACTCGGTGCCTACCGTCCCCTAGGTGACAGGGGTGCTCTCTGCAGGGACAGTGTGTGTGGCTGTGTGAGTGTGATCATGAGACATCACGAGGGCTCCAGCCAGGGAAACACCAGGCCCCAGACACAATCCCAAGAGTCTTGGAGGTGCCTGGTTCAACGATTTCATGTTAGAATGGAGGAAACTGAGGCCTGGAGACAGGAATTGGAGATGACCCGGGACTCTGGCTCTAGCCGGATGCCTGGCCTCTCCTGCTTTGGCCAGTTCTCCCAGAAGCTCCAGTACTCAGAGGGGAGAGGGTCTCCCAGGAGAGGGTTCTCAGGGAGCAATGCCACGCTCTCTCCTCCCTCCCACCCCTTCTGAGCAGAGAGGCCCAGGTAGCGGGGATGACCCGGTGGAAGCACAGGCTCCTCTCCCAGCTCTCAGGCCGCTCCACCTGGCCCCGCTACCCCTGCAGCCCCACCTCCCACCTGGCATTGCCCACCACTACCCTCACCCTGGGCACCCCACACACCCTGGAGGGGCCTCCTGCCTTCATTACTCAAACACACCCCCTCTGCCTGGGATACCTGTCACCCTCCTTCCCTAACAAACTCCTATTCATCCGCTGGGGCCCTTCGAGCAGTAGGTCCTGCCAAAGCCCTGCCTGGTTACCTACCGTCCTGCACACCTCCCTAGCTCCGGCCAGGCCTCCTTTTTCCCTGCAGGCCCCACTCTGGTCTGTAAGCTCTTCAGGGGCCCCGTGGCTCCTAAATGTCCAGTGCCTGGAAACCCATCTTGAGTGGACAGAGCAAGGTCAGGAGGCGGACACAGGCTTTCCTGCTCCAGGTTTCAGGGGCACGGCAGGTGGGAGACCAGCTGGCCCCCAGCCCTGAATCCCAGCAGATTCCAGCTGGAGTCTGGGTCTTTTCTGCTGCCCAAGGGGCTGGGTCCCACCATCAGATGCTGAGCCACTCCCTCCACCCATCTAGGAGAGAGTGCTGCTTCAGGAAGGTCAAGTGTGCCTAATACTTGGTCCTTTTGAGTGTCCTGTCCACCTTCAATGTTCCCTGAAGTGGCCAGCTCATTCCATCAGGGGCATTCCCGCTCACATCACCTCCCCGCAGCTCTGCCTTCTGCACCAGCTCCTGTTTGAACACCCCTGGTGACGGGGTACTCACTACCTATCACAGCTTGTTGGGCAACTCTTTAGCAACTGGGTCCCAGGAGTGCTCCTGTTACCAGAGGCCACTGGTGGTTCCTGCCCTTTCTCACCCTCCAGATGGGCCAAGAGCTCAGCACATTTCCAGGGCCACCTGGCCTGAAGTCTGACCCCTTTCTCTGTTCTCCTGGCTTTTGTGTCTATACCCCAATCAGCACTTGCTGTGGATAGGATGTGCCAGCCGCCTCTTCCAGCTCCCCCCAGGCCCTGGCTGTGCAAGGCAGAGCTGTCCCAAGATGGAGGCCCAGGAGGCCTGGGCAGGGCAGATGTCCCAAAGACAGCCAAGGTCTCAGTGCAACGCATCCTGGGCGCTGAGCAGACTCGGCAGTGGCTATAAGTGAACGCAATGGTTCTGGGAGCCCATCTCCCCAACTAGCCCAGGGGACCTTGGCAACACCTTTCACTCGAGGGGCTTCCCACCTGGACCACGGAGGGCATGTGGTTCTGTGTCCTGTGGTGTGGCCTGTGCTGCTCTTGTGGCTGCCCAGGGCCAGGCATGTGGAGGCCTCTCTTCATCTCAGTGGGGGGTGTCAGACTGAAGCTGGTGGGGACGTGCACTCCTTACCCTACCGGATGTGTGCAACGTGACCTGAGTGTCCAGTCCTGGCTGCCAGACCAGATGAGAGCTGGCGGGGCATGGCCCAAAGCTGAGATGCAGAACTCCCTGTGGGAACCTCATCTCCTTCTCAAGGGGGTAACAGCTCCTATAGGCTTGATCAAACATGAAAAGGATGGCCGGACGTGGTGGCACACACCTGTGATCCCAGTGCTTTGGGAGGCTGAGGCAGGAGGATGGCTTGAGTCCAGGAGGTCAAGGCTGCAGTGAGCTATAATTGCACCACTGCGCTCCAGCCTGGGCAACAGAGTGAGACCTATCCCTTTAAAAAAAAAAAAAAAAGGAAGCTAACGTTTGTGAGAAACCACAAGCCCTTTGGGAGTTTTTACTCCCATTGGACAGAAGAGAAAACAGAGCTGACGCATCCCAGCCTGTGTGCAATGTGGCCTGAGTATCCAGTCCTGGCCGCTGGGCACCGAGCCGGCCCTGGGATGCCACAGCAGTGACCAGGATGCACAGCTCCTGCTTTTGTGGAAGCAGGAGGAGCTCTACCATGAATTAAAAGTAAAGAATCAAGTAGAACATCAGGGAGAGAGATGTGTCAGGATTTAAACTAGGTAGGGGGCTAAGAGTGAGTTCAGAGTGCAGAGTGAGGAGAGCTTCTGCGTCTCGGAGTGAATGACAGGAGGGAGCTGGAGCTTCCCAGGCACAGGGGCGGCTGGTGCAGGATCTTCAGCCAGGAAGGGGCTGTGCATCAGGGGAAGGGGAGTGAGAAGGGGCAGAGGCCGATTGGTGGGCACTGGAGATGGTGTTTGGAGGCCGGATTCTCCTCTCCGCACAGAGGACTGGATGTCCTTAGGGCTGCATGAGGATGGGGTGGCGGGCCCGCCTTGGTAATTATCGAGGCTCCTTCCAGCCATGGAGGGAAAGTGGATTGGGGTGCAGGAGATGAGGTGGAGCCGTGAGTGTTGTCACCGCCGGAGGTGGGTTTGGGCGTTTTGGACCAGGGTGGTCGTGGTGGGAGTGGAGTGATTCCAGATGCTTCTGCAGGTGGAGTGGATGGTGCCACAGTTGGACCAGGTGTGGGGGGAGGTAAGAGAGGAGTGTAGGGGGTGGCCTCGACTTTCAGTGGAAGAATGCGGTGAATGCTGAGGCAAGGAGATGCCAGCTGGGGCAGGAGCTGGGAGCAGCCACTTAGACGCCACGGGGAAGAATCTTCAAGTTGAGATAGATCGGGAGTCGGCCGCACGGAGACAAGACCACAGGGAACAAGACCCCTGGGCGTGCTTGGGGGAGGAGGCAGTGAGGACCCAGCCTGGCCTGGAACAGGTGGAGTCGGGGAAGGTGAAGGAGCCTGGATGGAGAGGGTGGCGGCTGGGACGCCAGAGCCGAAAGGGCTGCAGGAGGGAGCTGGCAGCTGTTTGTGCCAAGGGCTGCCGAGAGGCTGGGAAAGACGAAAGTGGGCACTGCAGGGTAGAGGTCACCAGTGACCTTGCTGAGAGCGGCTCAGAGGGCCCAAAGGGGGGCGCTGGACTGGGCAGGGCTGAGGATGGAAGAGGAGGTAAGGAGGGGGATGGAAACCGCTGGCGATCCTTCCAAGAAAACCTGCCTCGATGAGGCAGAGGCCAGAGGGTATGCAGGTCAAGTTTGTTTGTTTCATGGAAGGTTCTAGAACTATGAGTTCCAATATAGCAAACACAACCCCGTTTCCGGCGCTCCAGAGCCACATGGGACCCATGGCCGCCCTGTTGGATGGTGCAAGTACAGAACCTCTGTGCCATCCAAGAAAGCTACGTGGACTTTCTTGGTGTTGCAGAGGGCTGGAGGTATCAGAGAGACCTGGGGGGTGTCCATTCCAGGGGGGCCATGGCCTCTGTGTGTCCCTGAGGCAGGAGGTCAGGCCCCAGGAGCAGGTGCAGACAGGCTGAGCAGAAGGGGAGCGCCTTTCAGGCCGAGGAGAGAAGCCCTCCCGAGGGGCTGTGGGCCTGCCAGCCTCCCTGGGGCCTTATGGTCCACATCCACACAAGGCCCTGGGTCTGAGGCTGCAGGTGTGCTGCGGAGGGCAGGGCTGGAGCCAGGTGTGCACAGGAGAGCGATGCCCATGCAGGGTCTCTGCACCTGCCCTCCCCGCTGGCCAGCACTCCTTTCTAGAAATGTTGTTTAATAAGGGGATCATTGGATGCAGCGTGCAACAGGTGTGAGTGTGGATCAGTGAGGGCACGGGCTTGGGGGGCGTCGAGAATGACAGTGAGCGAGCCCAGCTGGAAAGGGCCTTGGGAGGGCCTGTGCTTTACACAGAACCTTCCTAGGTGGTTCCCTGTTTCCTGTGTCGGGGCCACAGCCTCTGCCCCTGGGGGCTCCCCGACCCAGGGGTGCCTCTCAAACCCCTCCTAGTGCAGACCTGTCCAGCCTGTCCCCCCAGCCCCCAACAGGAGGCTGCACAGGGCTGACTCACAGTGTGACCTTGGAGAAGTCCTTCTCTCTCTGGGCCTCAGTTTCCCTGCCATAAAGTGAGCTGCAGAGTGAAAACTTTGGGGTCCCTCAGCCGGGTGCAGTGGCTCACACCTGTCATCCCCGCACTGTGGGAGGCTGAGGCAGGTGGATCACCTGAGGTCAGGAGTTCGAAACCAGCCTGACCAATATGGTGAAACACCATCTCTACTAAAAGTACAAAAATTAGCTGGGTGTGATGGCAGGCACCTGTAATCCCAGCCACTTGGGAGGCTGAGACAGGAGAATCCCTTGAACCCAGGAGACAGAGGTTGCATGAGCCAAGATTGCACCACTGCACTCCAGCCTGGGTGACAGAGCAAGACTCATCTCAAAAAACAAAAAAAAAAAAAAGAAAATTTTGGGGCCCCTCCAAAGCTGGGGCCATAGAGGAGGCAAAATCCATGCCTCCTAAGAGGCAGCAGGCCCACCCTTTCTCACTGGCAGGGTGCTGGCCACACTGGGGAGTCCTCCTCACACGCCCCGAAGATCTTCCTGCCCAGGAGAGTTGATAGTAAAGTCAGGCTGAGAGGGGGAGCAGGGGGAGGACTCCCCAAGCCTCTGCAGGCCCCAGGCCCCTGCTCACCTGGACTCTGGAGCAGAGGCAGAGCAGGAAAGTGGGGGTTGGACACTGGGCTGGGGACAGCCTGCCTCCCTCATCACACAGGCTGCCCAGCCCAATGGAGCAGGGCTCAGAGCCGGGTGGAGAGGTGAGGCTGTGCTCCCAGCACCCCTCCCAAGGAGCCTGAAGCATAGATTCCTGGACTCACAATGGGGAGACTGGGACATGGTGGCAAGGAAAGGGCTGGCAGGGGAGCAACCAGGTGAGTGAGGAAGGGGGAAAGGGTCTGGCGCCCAGCCAAGTTCTGGCGGTGTTGGCCACCTGTGCACACTTACAGCGTGTTTCCTGTGTACATGCAGCATGCCAGACATGCAGACTCCCATGCATGTGTGAACATGGAGAGGAAATCTGGGGGGCTCGGAGCTGCACCCGTTCTACCCCTACCTGCCTCCACGCAGCCCCAGACACACCAGGGCCCCAGAGCTGGCTGCCCAGACAGGGTGCCCTCAGTGACAGCTGCTCTGCCCAGTGCCCCAATGAGCACGGTCTGTGTACTCATGTACACAAATACCTGCCCTGTGCATACACACCTGTGCACATACACATGCAGATGGCCTGGCACACACATTCGAGGGCTCACGGGTACCAAACACGTGTGGGTGGACATGGCATACATGCGTCCACAACACACATGCACACAAACACACACATGAACCCCATGTGCACGCAGCCCTCCAGCCCTCAGCTGCCGGGCCCAGGAGAGCCTGGGCAGCCCGGGCCCCGAGCCTCCTCTCTGTGCCTGCGATAAGGGCTTTTAGGCCCCATAATCCTCCTTACCTTGACTTTGGGTTATTTTGAGCAAGAGATTAAAGGTGATTACGATTGGGGCTGAGGCGCCACACCTCCTACACGCTTCCTGTGCAGCTGCTGGTCAGGCCCGCCCTTCCGGAGGCTGGGCACAGCCAGACGCCATCAGCCCCATGCCCTCGGCCCTCCCCCAACCAGCACGCACCTCTGCCTGAGACCTGGGCCCCCAAGAGGCCTGGGAGAGCTAAATCCCAGCGTTGGCACAGGTTGTCTGGGCACAGTGGAAGGATGGTGGGGAGGTGCGGAGGGGCTGGCATGGGCACGGGCAGGCAGGTGCACACAGCACACTGCGTGACGGTGACCAAGACACCGCTGACTCCCATGATGGTGGATTTCACATCCAATCAGACCACATGGGGACCCCATTGTCCCCAGCCAAGCTGCCCCCAGAGCCATTTCTGAGTGGGCCTAGTAAGATCCTGCCCGGCTGGGCTGGGATAGGCGTCCCCTGGCCTCTCCAGGCCAAGCCCTGGGTTAGCTCCCTGGGGCCTGCTAGGACCTCTCACTGCAGCCCCCATGCCGTCTGACTTCTCCCTCTCTTTAAATCAGAAATAGACTCTTCTCCAGGAGCCGGAACAAAATTGTTCTTTATGAAGTTTCCAAAGAGAGGAAAAAACCCATTTCACATCATTATTTTTTTTTCTCTAATTTAAACCGCTTCAGTGCAGACTAGTTGCAAACGTCAATATCAGTGAAATACACCCAGCTGGCTGCCTGCCAGGCCACAGCATGGTGACAGAGGCCGGCTGTAAATCCACATATTAACAAGCAAACACACACCCATTTCTCTATCCTTCAGGGCAAACACAGGCGGCCGAGAGGTAAGGCTGCACATCAGGGGCTCCCCTGCCTTGAGGATGGTGGGGGAGGGTGTCTGCTGGGGAGCCGGAGCCCAGCACCTCCAGCCCTGTCTGCAGGGTCCTTCCTGCCTGGGGCTCCCTCCCCTATGACTTGATTGGCACATCGTCTGTGTGCGGGCTCAGGAGACACTAGGGAGATGGATGAGGCACCATCCTACCTGGAGAAAATCAGGGTCCCGTGGAAGCGGAGGGATAAAGCAAAGGACTCCATACGGTGGTGGGGAGGATGATGGGAGGGGCATCCAACTCCCCGAGGGACCTTGGAGCAGTCCCTCTCCCAGCCCGAGGAGGATGTGCAGAGCCCAGGAATGCTCAGCAGAGCAACCGGCTCTCTTCCTTCCAGAAGGGAGGCAGCCACGCTCCACCAAGGTGAGGTTCGGACAGTGCCAAGTCCAGTGCCAGGTAGACACCCTCAGAGACCAGCCAGCCAGCTCATTTGGGGAAACTGAGGCCCAGAAGGGGCATGGCATGCCGGGGACACAGGGCAAGCGAGCTCAGACCGAGACCTGGCAGGTGCAAGTCCCCAGACAGGCCAGAATATCTCCCAGTGTCTACCCCCTAGAGGGCTGGAGAGAAGCCCACACCCTGGAAGGATTCTGGGGACTCCGGGCAGGTGTGCGGGGCAGCTCCTGCAGGCAACTCCTGGGGCATTGTGGCTGGGCCTCCCGGGAGCAGAAGTGCCAGGTGACAGGGACGGAGCCCAGCAGGGGCCTTCACATTCATGTCCTTGGCTGCAGCCGGCCAGCCAGCAGGAGAAGCCCTGTCACTCCTCAGCCAAGTGACTTTAGGCCACAGTGCCCTGTCTCAGTTTCCTCATCCAAACAGGGTTTCACCGAGAGTGAAATGGGCTGCAGGGGTCTCAATTCTGGGCCATCAGTACCTTGGAGCCCAGCTGAGCAGGTAGTGCCTCATCCAGTTTGCAGATGAGGAAGCTGAGGCCGGGGAACCGAGGAGGCCCCTCCACTGGAGGTTGGAGCATTTCCTCCATTATCCTGGCCCATCTCAGGAACTCCTGGGGGCTTCTGTTCTCTTCTATGTTTTACAGAAGAGGCTCAGGGGGCTCAGCGGAGCAGGACTCAGGCTGCATTCAGAAGTCACTGCTGTGAGATGCCAGATGTCCCCTGACCGCTGCCTTCTCTTTTGTCTTGCAGCAGGAACGTCAGAGCAGGAGGAGCCAGTGGAGACATCAGGATACCCAGGCCCATGGGGCAGGAGGCCCTGGTCACCGCAGGATTGGAGTGGAAGACAAGAGGCTGCCAGCTGTGAGGGAGGCACTCTCCCTCCCCGTGCTTGCACCTCACGGCCATGTGGTTTGGGACAGGACACCCCTGAGAGTACAGGCACCTCCCCCTCCCACCCCTCCATCCCTTCAGGGGCCACCACCTAGCCCTCCACCCGGTCCCCCTGGGCAGGCTGAGTAGGGGCTCCCTGCAGGGCGGTCCCGATGGCCGGGCTCAGGTGGGGCACGCTGTGGGTGTGTGTGGCGGCCGCCACCCTGCTTCACGCAGGTGGCTTGGCCCGCGGGGACTGCTGGCTGATCGAGGGCGACAAGGGCTTCGTGTGGCTGGCCATCTGCAGCCAGAACCAGCCGCCCTACGAGGCCATCCCACAGCAGATCAACAACACCATCGTGGACCTGCGGCTCAACGAGAACCGCATCCGCAGCGTGCAGTACGCCTCGCTCAGCCGCTTCGGCAACCTCACGTACCTCAACCTCACCAAGAACGAGATCGGCTACATCGAGGACGGCGCCTTCTCGGGCCAGTTCAACCTGCAGGTGCTGCAGCTGGGCTACAACCGGCTGCGCAACCTCACGGAGGGCATGCTGCGCGGCCTGGGCAAGCTGGAGTACCTGTACCTGCAGGCCAACCTCATCGAGGTGGTCATGGCCAGCAGCTTCTGGGAGTGCCCCAACATCGTCAACATCGACCTGTCCATGAACCGCATCCAGCAGCTGAACAGTGGCACCTTTGCCGGCCTGGCCAAGCTGTCGGTGTGTGAGCTCTACAGCAACCCCTTCTACTGCTCCTGCGAGCTGCTGGGCTTCCTGCGCTGGCTGGCCGCCTTCACCAACGCCACACAGGCCTACGACCGGATGCAGTGTGAATCACCACCCGTCTACTCCGGCTACTACCTCCTGGGCCAGGGCCGCCGCGGCCACCGTAGCATCCTCAGCAAACTGCAGTCGGTCTGCACCGAGGACTCGTATGCAGCCGAGGTGGTCGGGCCCCCCCGCCAGGTGCCGGGGCGCTCACAGCCGGGCCGCTCCCCACCTCCCCCACCTCCCCAGGAGCCCAGTGACGCGCCCTGCAGCGACGACGAGTGCTTCTCCGGGGACGGCACCACGCCACTGGTGGCCCTGCCCACGCTGGCCACGCAGGCTGAGGCCCGTCCCCTCATCAAGGTCAAGCAACTCACGCAGAACTCGGCCACCATCACCGTCCAGCTGCCCAGCCCTTTCCACCGGATGTACACCCTGGAGCATTTCAACAACAGCAAGTCCTCCACTGTGTCCAGGCTGACAAAGGCCCAGGAGGAGATCCGCCTTACCAACCTGTTCACGCTCACCAACTACACCTACTGCGTGGTGTCCACCAGCGCCGGGCTGCGCCACAACCACACCTGCCTCACCATCTGCCTGCCCCGGCTGCCCAGTCCACCCGGTCCGGTGCCCAGCCCCTCCACGGCCACCCACTACATCATGACCATTCTGGGCTGCCTCTTCGGCATGGTGCTGGTGCTGGGCGCCGTCTACTACTGCCTGCGAAGGCGGCGGCGCCAGGAGGAGAAGCACAAGAAGGCCGCCTCGGCTGCTGCGGCCGGAAGCCTGAAGAAAACCATCATTGAGCTCAAGTACGGGCCGGAGCTGGAGGCGCCTGGCCTGGCCCCGCTGTCCCAGGGCCCGCTGCTGGGCCCCGAGGCCGTGACGCGCATTCCCTACCTGCCGGCGGCCGGCGACGTGGAGCCGTACAAGCTGGTGGAGAGCACGGACACACCCAAGGCCAGCAAGGGCAGCTACATGGAGGTGCGCACTGGGGACCCTCCGGACCGCAGGGACGGCGAGCTGGGCCGGCCGGGCCCCGACAGCCAGAGCTCGGTGGCCGAGATCTCCACCATCGCCAAGGAGGTGGACAAGGTCAACCAGATCATCAACAACTGCATCGATGCGCTCAAGTCCGAGGCCACCTCGTTCCAGGGCGTCAAGGCGGGGCCGGCGTCCGCCGCGGAGCCGCCGCCGCTGGTGCTGCTGTCCGAGCCGCTGGCCGCCAAGCACGGCTTCCTGGCGCCCGCCTACAAGGACGCCTTCGGCCACAGCCTGCAGCGGCACCACAGCCTGGAGGCGGCCGGGCCCCCGCGCGCCGGCACCTTGTCTTCCGGCGGCTCCGCACGCAGTCCCCGCGCCTTCCGCCCCGAGGCCGTCGGGGTGCATAAGGGCGCGGCCGCCGAAGCCAAGTACATCGAGAAGAGCTCCCCCGCCGCGGCCGACGCCATCCTCACCGTGACGCCCGCAGCCGCCGCGCTCCGGGCCGAGGCCGAGAAGGGCCGCCAGTACGGCGAGCACCGGCACTCGTACCCCGGCCCGCACCCTGCGGAGCCGCCCGCGCCCCCCGGGCCACCGCCGCCAGCCCATGAGGGTCTGGGGCGCAAGGCGTCCATCCTGGAGCCCCTGACCCGGTCACGGCCCCGCGACCTGGCCTACTCGCCGCTGTCCCCGCAGTACCACAGCCTGAGCTACTCCTCCAGCCCCGAGTACACCTGCCGCGCCTCCCAGAGCATCTGGGAGCGCTTCAGACTGAGCCGCCGGCGGCACAAGGAGGAGGAGGAGTTCATGGCGGCCGGCCACGCGCTGCGCAAGAAGGTTCAGTTCGCCAAAGATGAGGATCTGCACGACATCCTGGACTACTGGAAGGGCGTGTCGGCCCAGCACAAGTCCTGAGCCCCCCAACCCCTCTCCCCCAGACCCGCGACGCCCACTGGACCAAAAAGGATGCAGGATCCACCCAGAGACTCAGCACCAAACTCAACACACGCACAACACGACAGCAACTGTGAACGCCGGGGGTAGGGGGCCCTGCAGAGTCGAGGTGGGGGCGTGGGCAGGGACAGACCCGGGGGACACGTCCCCAGCTCATGTGGCCGCCCCGGGCAGCACATGTACACACACACACACACACACACACACAAACACACACACACACACACACACACACACACACAAGGGACTTCGGAAAACTGTGTCTTAGGGATGGGGGTGGGGGTGGGGATTTTTTTTCATTATCTTTCCTCTTTTGAGTCTTCTCTGCCTTTTCCTCTCTTTCTTTTCTTCCTTTTTTAAAAAAATATATAATAAAAGACAAGTTCTTTTAAAAAGACATAAAACACGGTCTGTCGGGGGTGTGGCCACCTCGGGGCCCCTGGCGTGATCTCCTCCGTCCGTGGTTTTCTGTGGATTCTCTGTCCAGTCTGTCTCTTCGTTGCCGCCTCCGGAGTTCACCACAGAGGGGCGGAGTCAATGCCGGCGGCCAAGCGGCCTCCGGGACAGGTCCTGGCGCCCTGCTGGACTCAGGGTGGGTGGAGACTGTGCCTGTGGACGGCCGGGGTGGCCGGGAGGGCGGAGGGCGGGGAGGCACGTCCCCCAGCCCAGCCCCCCTGTACACTGTAGTCGTTCTATTGTACAGAAAAAAATATTTCTATATTTGCAATGTTTGCTGTAAAATGAGAAAGATAAAAAGACTATGTCTACTTAAAAAAAAATCTGCGAAGGAAAAAAATCAAATGCTTGTTTGTCCTGGGTTTTTACTGTGGGTTTCAGGGGAAGAGTTGAGGTTTCTTTCATGTCCCGTTTAGGGGGTGGTTTTGTTGATTTTGGTCTTGGGGTGGGGGCACGCTGTGCTCTCAGTGAGAGCGTGGTGGGACCAAGGGGTGTGAGTGGAAGCCCTTGGGGAGGTGGGCGGCCCACACCGACTAGAGCATATCTGAGAGCCCGTGTGGACAGGGCAGGCAGGAGCCGAGCTCACATGGTGTGTCGGGCTGGGACACCCAGAAGCTCGAGTGAGGTTCCGGGTCAGCAGATCCTGTGGGTTTGCATGTGAGTGAGTGTGAGTGTGGGGTGGTTGGAGGGTTCGTCTGTCTGAGGGTGGGTTCCCCTGCTGTGACCAGAGCCCCACCTATAGGAAGTGCCCAGAGATCCCTGATTCTGCAGGGGTCTCTCGGGATGCTGAGCCTGGAGCCAAACCCTGCACTGCAGCCCCCTCCACATGCATCTCATCCACCACCCCTTCTCTAGGCAGCCCGCCCTAGAGTGCGCCCCCGTTCTGAGTGAATGAGAGGCTGGAGACCACGTGGGACCAGCACCAGCTTGTTCAGCATCCCCGGGGAAGGGTGGAGAGAATCCCTGGCTTCCTGCTGCGGAGAGCAGGGGGTGCCCCTCATCCCACCTACAGGTGTCAGAGTGAGACGCTGAGGAAGGCACTCCACTCCCGGGACCTCGAATCCGCCTGCCAGCTGAGTAGGGGTCTGTGCCCATCCCAGGGAAAATGCCCCCAGCCCTGCATCCCACACAGAATTGCCTTTCTGATCGGGGGAGGGCCTGCGGGGAAAGGGAACACCTCGCCCTGGCCCCCTCCCTCCCACTCGGCCCCCCTGGGGTGGGACACCTGCCTAATGCCAGCACCACCTGTCACCCCTCCCTGCCTGCCTAGACACCCCCTCCCCTCTCTAAAGTCCTGGCTGCTGAGCCCCCACCCCGCCCCTCCATCAAGGGTAGACCCACCCTTAACCTGAACTCTGGAACAGACCCAGGGAGGCAGGAGGCTGCGGCTGGAGCCAAGTCCCAGAGGCAAGAGGAACCTGGAGGGATGGAAGCCGGTCTTCAGGCTCTGACAGGTCCCCAAGAAAGGACCCAGTCTCAGCCTGACCCAGTGGGGGACAAAGAGGGACGGAGGAAGGGCCAGTGGGGGGTGGGAGCAGGGGCAGCCTCTGCTTGCATGCCCTTGGTGACAGGAAGCTCACCCCTCTCCTCTGTAGCTGTCTCCAGCTTTCGGGACCTTCCTTAGAGAGCAGAAGCCTGGGGCCACAGAACTGAGGGCTCATCTATCCCCTCCAGGTTAGTCAGCCCTGTCCTGCCACCTACACCCAGGTCACTGCACCAGGGTTCTGGGAGTATGAGGCCTGCTCTGGGGGTGTATGCCGTGGTGGGCTGCATGGGTGCCCTGTGACTCATCCCTCCAAAGGGGGCCATTACCCAGGATGCTGCATCACCTGTTCTTCCCTGTTTGACCCAAGGTTTCTGGCCAGGCCGGGACTCCCAGCCCTGGGCAGCTCCCCGTCCTTTGTGAGGGGGTCCCTGGAGGGCATGAGAGACCACTGGAGACCACAAGTCCAGGCCCAGGGGAGTGGGACGAGGACCAGGATCGGGATCCAGGGCTGGCAGCTGGAGGCCAAGGGAGGGCCCCAACCTGCCCAAGGTCACACGGCAACTCAATGACAGTCTGGTCATGGGACAGAGAGGTGGCCAGGCCTTCTCAGCCCGCCGCTCCCTTTCACTGAGGAGCGAAAACGGGCTATTTATAGGAAGTGCGGGAGAAGGGCAGACACAGAAGAGAGGCACCTGCCTTGGGGACACCCGGCAGCTAGCCAGGAAGGGCGAGTGTGCAGGAGGGCAGGTGCCTGGGGAGAGTCCAGGGCCCGAAGAGGAACAAGGAGAAACAGCAGGCGGGGGGGTGCTGGGTCCTCAGCAGCCAGGACGCCCAGCCTGATAGCTCAGGCCTCCCAGGAGCCGCAGGGCTTGGCCCCGAGTGTCTGGGAACGCCCAGCCGACCAGTCCTAGGACAAAGAACCCCGAGTTCCCATGCCCTTGCTCGAAGGTATCATGGTGGAGGTGACAGCACATAAGCAGGAGGAGACACACCTATGAAGCACCTACTGTGTGCAGGGCTCTGTGCCAAGCTCTGTGTGGGCATAGGGAGGAGCCCAGCCAAGCCAAGCCCTGGCCACCAGGAAGCTCACAGGCTGGCAGGGCACTCGGTGTGGAGGGGTCACCTGGCTCAGAGCAGCAGGGGAAACACTGCAGGTCCAGGAATAATGGGAACTCCTGACTGGGAAGAGCCAGGAAAGTTTCCTGGAAGGGGTGGTATTCGGTTTGGGCGAGGAAGGAGGTAGAGGCTGGGAAGTTGAGAGGGGTCGGTGCCCCGTGGGCTCAGAGCTGGGCTCAGGAGCAGGAGGAAAGCCTCCTAAAGCCAGCCTTGCCCTGCAGCTGGGATGGGTGACCAGCTTCCAAGGGACGGCCCTGGAGGGCAGCTCTTTCTCGTCTGTGAGACAGGTGCTTTGGAAGCCACAGAGAAGGCTCAGGCCCAGGCCATGCCCCTACAACTGTGTGACCACAGCAAGCCACTGACCCTCTCCACCTCAGTCTCCTCATTTGTCCAGTGGGCGGAACGCCGACGTCTGCCCCCTCCTACACTGCACTGGTTATCCATTGCCATGATAATGCTGCCTAACTCACAATGGCCCACTCGGGGAGCGATTGGCAAGGGGGCACACTCTCATGTCAAGGGATGCAGGGAGGACCGGGTTCTTCCCCACAGTCTCCCATCCTCCAGCGAGCCAGCGTGCCCTGGTCCCAGTGGCGATGGCTGAGGGAGCAAACCCCATGGTCACATCTGCTGGCGTCCCATGGGTAAGGGTGAGCCATAGGGCCGAGCTTAGAGGAAAAGGGTGGACAGGGCACCCTAGCCCAGGGGCCCATGGCCAAGGCCACAGACATGGAGGGCAGAGACGTGGGGTCCTCTGTGCACCAAGGCTGAAGGCATGGCTGAGTCCTGGGGTCCCTCCCCGGGGCAGAGGGCAGAGCAAGAAGAGCACGGAACTCAAGGCCCAGGTCTCCGCCACCCACGCATTCGCTCAGCACACAAATGCAGAGAGCCTTCTGTGTACCAGACATGCCGCCTGCCCCTCCCCACCAAAAATATGTTAGTCATGGTCCCAACACAAAAGAGCAGACACCCCAAAGTAGAATCCTGCAAGGGGCTGCCTATGAAGGGGCCATTTGCAGAGAGACCAAGCTGACAGCACACCTTGGCCCCCCGGGAGAGGGGGAGGAGAGCCCCAGAACCCGGAGGGAAACAGAGAGAGAGAGGTGCAGAGAGGCGCCCCGGGCCCTGGAGAGGGACCTCAGGGGAGGTCCAGTGGGCCCGGGCAGCCTCTGGGGAGGGCTGGGGATACACACCCGCCCCGCTCTTGGGATCTCCCTCTCACCTCCCACTGGGCTCCCTGCTGGCTGCATAGCCAGACACCAGGGACTGAGATGGGGCCCATTGCACTCAGTTCACAGACAGGATGGGCAAGAAGGTTCAGAGCCAGCCCGGAGTGGGTGATGGGGGAGGCTGGCCTGGGGGCAGCCACAGAGGAGGGGGCTGTCATCTCCATTGGGGACAGGGAGGCTTTTAGGGGAGGTGATTCCTCAAGACCCTGAAGGTGATTGGGTACAGTGGCTCATGCCTGTAATCCCAACACTTTGGGAGGCCCGGGGGGTCGGGGAGTGGATCACCTGAGGTCAGGAGTTTGAGACCAGCCTGGCCAACATGGTGAAATCCCATCTCTACTAAAAATACAAAAATTAACTGGCATGGTGGCACGTGCCTGTAAATCCAGGAGGCAGAGGTTGCAGTGAGCCAAGATTGTGCCATCATTACACTCCAGCCTGGCAACAGAGTGAGACTCTTGTCTCAAAAAGAGAAAAAAAAACAACAGCAACAACAAAAAACAGGCAAAGAAAAAGATTCTGAAGGACAAACAGGAGTTGGTGTGGCAGAGACAGTTTCGGGGCCAGGGAGCAGACTCCGCCCAGAGAGGATGGCAGGAACCAGGGTGCGGAGATCACAGACCCCTGGACACACCACGAGGGGTCACCACAGGGCAGTGAGGGGCCTGGCCTGAGACCAGGGATGGGGTGCAGCCAGGCTCTTCGGTCTGCTTTGCAACCATGAAGAAATGAGAGCCAGGTTCTGGGCAGAGAGAGCCATTGACAGTTTTCATTTTATTGAGACAGGGTCTTGCTCTGTCGCCCAGGCTGGAATGCGGTGGTGCGCTCATGACTCACCCGGCCTGAATTTCCTGGTCTCCGGTGATCCTCCTGCCTCAGCCTCTCAAGTAGCTGGGACCACAGGTGTGCACCACCACACCTGGCT